ATATATATATATATATATATATATTGTATTTTAAATAGTAGATCTTTTTGTAATGTGGAATGTCTCATTCCTTAAATTTGTATGACTCATTCTTACTTACACACTTAACCTAATCTGATTGAAAACGTCTTTCCAACAAATCAACAATAATGACCTTTCAATGCGGGAGAAAATGTCTAACCATCAGATCATTATCACATTTGCCCAAAAAAAGCCTTCGTTATTGGAATTAATTTATTATTAATTGATGACATATTTGTCAAATTGAGCAGACTTAATGACTAATTGTTAAATAAAAACAAGAATTAATACAATAAAGCTTAACCCGTAAAGCAGGCCAAAAACTTAATAAGATGACAAATGAGCCCCAAATAATATTTATTTATTTATTTTATAAGCCGTCAGATAAATCATTGCCTGTTCAAAACAGTAGGGTTTGATCTCAAGTATGAGGGCCGACATCAACAATAGAAATTAAAAAAAAAGTCTTAATCAGAAAATTCACCAATTTATCTTGTAAATAACGATCCTCAAGAATCAGCGTCTCAAATTTCACTAAAGGAATTAAAGAATTCTGTCTCTATCGATTTAAAGTTATTTTACTGAAGAAAATGGAGATCTCGAAAAGAACTAAAAATCGCACAGAAAATCCCAATCGGTAAGAAAAATCGGAGATAGAAGTACCTTTTTGGAGGCCTTCTCGACGAGCTTTCTCACGAACATCGCCGGCGGCGATCGGTGACTACACGGAACTGGGGATTGGGGAAGATGGGGAAGAACTTCGATCTGACTGAGTTAGGGTTTCGGAATCGGAGAGTGAAATCGAAGAAGAAAGAGGGGGGAATAGAGAGGAATTATGAAAGGGGACGGGAGCAGATCGAAGACTGTTCGGAGCGGTTTAAATCCGCATTTTATAAAGCCGGAGAGGGAAGAGGGGGAACGGAATGGAAGGCGGGGCCGGGTTTTGGGTAAGGATAAAGGGGCCTACTTATTAGAAGTGGGTCCACAGTGGCTTCGGCTTGACACGTGTGGTTAAGAGTCAAAAGTCATCCACCGACCACTTCACACGTTTGGGCGGACGGTGCTCTGGCCGGCGGGCAACTTATTTGATTTATGTGATTTAATTTATGAAATAATTACATACAGATAATCCGAAATATTGATATTTACAAAAAAACCATTAATTTTTAATTAAATTATTATGAGTATTATTTTTAATAAAATTAATTGACTACAAGGCTGCAAAGATTTATAATGAATTAAAAGTATTAATGAACAAAATAGAATAAAAATTATTAAATTAGATTCAAATGATGTTTTAAATATTGTCTCAATCATTAACATCTTATTGCTACGTCATTAGGGTTGTCAAAACGACTCTTTGTTCGTGAACAGTTCGTGTTCGGCTCGCTAAGAAAACGAGTCAAACACGAACACACTTTTTTGAGCTCGAAATATAAACGAGCCGACCATCAATGATGACAAATCATATGATATCATAAGTAGCTTATATGACAGATTGAAGGTTTTTTTTATTTATTTATTTAGAGTACACATCCTATTTGTTGCTCTCTACCCATACTATCCACTTTGTTGGCATAGCCATTTTGCTTAGAATGAAACATTAAGTTTAATGGATATTGCTTCATGGGGGTTCATGCAATACATAGTATAGCGAGTGTCACAAAATGTAAGAATTTAGTATATATTCAATTATAATTATGTATTGTCAGCTCAGTATGCTTTATGGGGGTTCTTCCAAGCAAACACATTTGGAGAAGATGTCGGTTACTTGATTTTCTTTATGACTGACATGCTAGATGTGTAAGCTCCTGAATTCTATGATTTCTTTTTTCGTCTTGGCGAGGTACCTGATTATCATCTCATCTCTGGTTTTGAACTCTCTGTTAACTTGACTCACAATCATCAAGTAATCAAACCTCACCAGGAGGTTCCGGGAGCCTATTTTATAGGACAGGTAGAGCCTGGCACCCAGTACTTCGTACTCTACTTAGTTGTTTGTGACATTGAGTTTCACTTAGATTGATTGGTAAAGGTGTTATCTTGTTTGGCTGCACAAAACTAGACTTATTTCTGTCGTTGCTTTCTTGGAGGCCCCATTGACATATAGAATCCACATTCTGTTATCCTTGAAAATTCCTTCATCATGTCCTACTGTCATGGAGAATTCAGCAAGGAAGTTTGTGATCACTTGGCTTTGACTTCGTTTAAGGGACATAGATGATATTAAATTCACCGAGCTCCACTGCCCACTTTAGCAATCGGTCGAAGTGCTCTAGTTGTGTGAATACAGACCTCGGTGGATAGTCCATGATAACTCAAATTGGATGCATTTGGAATTACGTTGAAGTCTGTGAGCGAAAAAAATCAAAGCAAATGTCAGTTTCTCCATAATTTGCTACCTGATTTTGGCACAATGAAGTACTCAACTCGTGTAGTACACCAGGTATTATTTTTGTCTCCTCTTTGACTAGAACTGAGCTTACATCCTCTCGCCCCACTCCCACACACAATGACAACTCTTCTGTCGGTTTTGGGCTCTAAAGCATTGGTGGGGAAGCTAAGGAATCCTTCAAGTATTTGAACGCCTCTTCGCATTTGATTGTCCATTCAAAACATTGATTTTTCTATAGTGCATTAAAGAAGGTTGCACACTTTTCGCTCAACTTCGAGATGAAACTACTGGGCCATGAAATACGACTAGTCATTCTATGAAATTCCTCGGTGCTCCATAGGGGCAACATGTCTAAGATCGTCTATACTTTCTCAGGATTGGCTTTCAATCCATCGAGAGTCAATAAGAAGCCTAAGAATTTGTCAGTCGATACCCTGAAGGTGCATTTGGTAGGGTTCAATTCATATTGAATCTTTTGAGTGTTTTAAATGTCACTTTTAGATCTTTGACATGTTGTTCGGCTAACTTAATTTTAACTAAATATCATCGACATACACCTCAACATTCTTTTCTTTTTTATTAGAAAAATTACATCCAAGAGGTGTTAATAAGTTGCCCCACCTTTCTTAAACCTGGAGGGAATTACATTAAAACAAAAAAAAATGTCTTGCGTAGTAATAAATGTCATTTTCTTTGCGCCAGCTAGATGCATCTTTATTCGGGGATAACCAGAGTAATCATCGAGGAAATTCATTACTGAGTATCAGACCACTATGTTTACAAAGGTGTCAATCTTCGGCAGAGGGTAAGTGTCATTCAGGCAAGCAGTGCAGAGTTAGCTAAATTGACACACATCTATCACTTGACATTGGCTTTCTGACCATAACGACATTTGAGAGCCAAGTTGGGTATTGGACTTCATGGATGTAGCTGGCATCCAACAACTTTTTTACTTCCACCGCTTTCGGTTAGGTCAAAGTTTTGGCGATCGACCAGATTTTCTCTTAGACCGACCAAGAGTAGAGGCTGATGTTTAGCTGGTGGCTTGTTGCATCAATCGAAACAATGAACATTTTTAATGCGGTCCAAGAGAACAATTCTCAGTGCTCCCAAAACATCTGTACCAGTTGTTCCTGAATCCTGCGTCAAAATGTTCACTAATAAAAAAAAAGCTTATCGAGTTCTTCATAGGACACTGACACCTGGAGGGTGGCCTCATTGGTCTGAAGGGCCCCCTGCCTCTGGATATGGATGTCGATCGGTTCATAGCCGACACTTGAAACTACTCGCAAATAGCAATTTCTAGACTTATCAAAGTTTTTACAGACCGTAATTATGTCCCTGTCACCGGGGAACTTTACGGCTACATGGTAGGTGAAAGTTACCGCCTAATAGTTGTTCAGCAGTGGCCGACCAAAGATAGCATTGTAGGTCGGCAATGATTGTACCACGTGAAAATCCTCCATATTGTTATACTACTTTCCTTGCTCTCCCCAAGAGATGGCGAGAGCGACAAAGTCTAGTGTCACCCTTCTTTCCCCTAATAATCCAAACAATGGGCCGACCGGTGCTGTTAACCGATCGACCTTTAGACTGATCTTCTTGAACACTGATTTAAGCAGGATATTCATAAAACTTCTGATATCAATGAGAATAGTACCCATCTAGTAGTTGTTTATCAATGTTGTGATGATGTTTGCCTCATTGTAGGGGTTCCCTTCAATGGGAGTACTACATTTGTAAAAGTAATGGGTAAGGGTTTACATGTATACGGGGTGATGAAGCGTACCTCCTTCGAACATTATCGTTTTAGACCAGAGGTTAGGGGTCCTCCCCTGAAGATGGCTAGGATTATCCATGTTACATGGATCTTGTTCACCCTAATAGACCCGTCAGGGGGATCCTCTAATGTGCTTTATTCTGTTGTTGTGTATGTGTGTTGACTACTATAAATTTTTTAAGCCTTCCAGCATTGATATGTTCATCGATTTGGTTCTAGAGGTGTTGAAACTTCTCTGTGTCATGTTCGTGTTCATGGTGGTATTGATAGTAGCTCTTCTCAAAAGGCCGGTGACGCCTTTAGTGCCAGGCCCGATTTGAATTAGTTCTTGTTTTAGTTGGCTTGGATTATTTCAGCCGTCGACACATTGAGAGATGTTAAATTTTACATTTCCCTGCAAACATACGATCACTAATAATATTCAAGCAACTGTTGATCGGAGTGCTACTCTTGGTCATGGTTGCCTAGATCGTTTCTCAGCTGATCTTGGTACCGAGAGTTGTTGTTTTGGTGACCGTCAAGCTGATTATCCATTGCACTTTGTTGTTTGTCCCATTCTTTCCACTTCCTTGACGAGTGGTTACATGATTCCAGCTTACCATTTAGGAAGCTCTGGAGGTCATCTTCAGTGAGTATAGACTTGTTCATCATCTCAAATACTTTTACAAAAGTAGTAGGTCTAAACAGATTTAGGTCATAATTGAATCTCTTGCTTCAGACTCTTTGCTTTAAGGCTATTCTATCCATTTCAGGCTTCAGATTTATGACTTCCAAACTCTCACTCTGGAAGTGGGTGATGTGGGTACGTAGGCTTTTTTTTTCTCCCCGCTCATGGTGGACGGGGTTTTTGAGCCATTCCTCAACTTCTGCACGTTTGAGAAGTGTGAAACGAATAGTCTCTTAAACTTGTAGTAACTTGGGATGGTTTTGGTCGGCAGATCATTGAACCACTGAAGGACCCACTCTTTTAGGGTGGTTAAGAAGAGACGACACATAATTAGATCATCAATCTGGAGCAAATCAATGGATGATTCGAATGACGCAACGTGGTTGAGCTGGTCGATCCTCCATTTGTAAGAATCCAAGCTACGAATCCTTAGCTTGGGCGGAGGTATCTCCTCTTTGATTTGGTGAGTAAAGGATCCCTCTGCGAGCGGCCAGACAGGCACTCACATCCATTCTTTCCATCTCTTGTTCACCTGCGCAGATGTGGCTGTGTCACTATCTTAGGACTCACCTCATCTCTCTATTTGTTGGTTATTGACCTGGTTGTACAGAATATGCGGGTTACCTGGTGGGGTCCTTTGAGGATGAATCCCTTAGGGTTTCGCTTCCAGGCGAGGCGCTTGGTCGTTCATCAGATGATCGCTGCCTGGAAGACCTTGAATTGCTCCATCTTGATATCGAGCTTGTAATCCCTGGATTTGTGCGTGGACACCTGATTTTGTAGCGTCTTTGTTGGGTTCCATCTGCTTTATCTCTCTTTGGGAAGTTTCTCCTTTGTAGTTAGCTCTGTTTCTCATCTGGTGCATGTCCACGCTCACCGCACCATTATTTAGGATGTTAGATCTCAGATTATCTTTTGTGAACACACCTCGAGAGTTAGAGTCAAGTGAAGAAGAGAACCAAAGGGTGAGAGTAGAGTAAGCCTGTAATTCCTTGTCACAAGAGTCCCGACCCCAGCTCCCTTCATTCGTATTTTTGTTCTCTATTTATGGGGATGTATTTTGTTTTCTTAGACTTGT